GAGCCCGGCGGGGGTCTGGGATAGGTGTGGGTGCGAATGCGGGGACGAGGGTGAGGGCGAGGGCGTGGGCGGGAGCGGGGGTGGGTCTCGCACGCGAGTACAAATTTTTTTTCTCCTCTTGCCTATCTTTTTTTAATTTCTTTTTACACTTTTTTTTTTTTTTTGTATAATCTTCTTTTTTCTTTTCTCGACCAACTCGGATAATATAATCAAGAAAATTTCACAAAGTTTTCTCTTTTACTTTATATATATATATATAATTATATAATTATATTTATAAATGTGTATATATATATATGCATACATTTATACAGACACACATATATATATATCTTTTTATATTTATCCTTTCTTTCTCTCTTTAGCGTAAATTGGCTCATTTAGTACAAGCGTTTTTATACTTAAAATAAGCCATTTCATTTTTATTCCAGCTGGTGCTCCTCGCACCATTCCAGTCAGATACGCAATCCCGATATATTTCTTCGATATATCGGAGATGATACCGGCCGCTCGTGCTTTTTAATTTTGCCTGTGATATAGAATTGTTTGTTTCGATTCCGGATGAGAAGCACGCTCTCGGAATAAAATCAAATCGAATGAAACGTACGTAAAGGCATGAGAGAGAGAGAGAGAGAGAGAGAGAGAGAGAGAGAGAGAGAGAGAAAAAGTGAGAAAGTGATGGTGATTGCGATGCCAATGTTTCAATGGGATTGGAAAAACGTAAGAATGGATGTTGCAAGTGTACTTTCAATAATTCATTAGCCACTTGTTTTGTTAGTTTGTCTCACTGTAAAATCGTGCGGTCCGTTCTCCGAAGAAAGTGCTTTAATTTCCTCCGGCCGACTTGTTACTGGCTTAAAACTTGGCCGAGGTGTTTTTCTCTCTCTCTTTCTCTTTTTCTTTCTCTACGAGTTTGCTAGAACGACGACGCGTTTTACGAAAATACAAGCAGAATAGAAAAAGAGAGAGAGAGAGAGAGAGAGAGAGAGTGAGACAAGAAATAGAAAAAGACGATGAAAAATAAAGATAGAGAAAAGTAGAATGAGAAATTCATAAAGCGTTGGGCAACAAAGAATTCCGTTTTCTTCGAATATTTCGATTTCGGTATGGAAAAAAAGTTTACTCAGTTAATTAACGTTATATACAAATTGAGCGTTCCTGTTGTTGTCCAGAGTATGGATATTAAATATGTCGAGTTTTTATGACGATTGAAAGTTGCTAAAAGGTTTTTAAGAAAACTGAAATAACCGAAAAATAGAATGAAACAGCGAGAGAGAGAGAGAGAGACAGAGAAAGAAGTTATAGAAAGCTTGGCTATCGGAAAGTATAAATATAGTTGAAAGTAATAAGAAACGTCTCGGTAACATGGTGGGAGGGGGAGGGGTGGTTGGGGTGGTAGTGGGTGGGAAAAGAAGCTTAAACGTCTTCCATTGGAAGTTTAAACTTTCGCGCGACTCAGATCCGATTTTCAGAGTGGAGCATTATCGATCTGCATTCGACAAGCGTTGAATAGTTAACGTAGGGACCCGTCTTAGAAGTCTCTTTCCTATTCGCTAACCGATAGCACAAACGTCGAAGTTCGATTCGGGAAACGATTTAAGTCGATCTCTCTCTCTCTCTCTCTCTCTCTCTCTTTCTGGTATGTCTCGTTCACTCGATTTCTCGAACATTTTGCGAGATACTACGTACAATGTAACGGATATTCAAATTTCCGTAGTTCGAACAACTATAACCATGGCAAATGCATCGAATTTCCCGTATTCGACGTATAGGTAAGCGTCTAACTAATAAGAACAGTATGGGGAGTGGGTGGGGGGTGAGATGGGGGTGGGTTGTTCTAAAGTAAATCGTAGAAATATAGAATATTTGTCAAATGTGTGTCTCGGGCCGAGTCATAGGTTATTGCAAGAGAAATCGTATATAGATAGAGACAAGTACATAGGTCACAGAGTAACATTAACAGAGAGAGAGAGAGAGAGAGAGAGAGAGAGAGAGAGAGAGAGAGAGAGAAGATTGGGACACAGGAAATGCTGCAGGCTCGAGCGTATAATCAACATCAGAAGCTCGTGGATTCTCTGCTCGGTGACGGAAGGTGAGCGAATTGCACGCAAACTGTGCCGTACTATTCTATATGACACGAGATGTCTACACATACACACCTGTATATACATATATTATTTATCTTACGTATGTATATATATATATATATATATAGGAATGTATGTATTGGTAAGTACATACGTGTAGAGGAGTTAGATGTAAGCACGAGTTTGCCAGGCCGAAATATGCCTGGACATTTTGGTCCCTTCAAAGTGACTAAGCTCGCGAATCAGTCCAGCCACGTTTCATCTGTTACGTAACATTTCTCCTATCTCTGTCTCTCTGTCTCTCTCTCTCTCTCTCTCTTTATTTCTTTTTCTTTCTTTAAATAAAATTGATCTTCCTTAGTTGAACATTGCGAAATATCTTACCGCGTTGGGTTAGTTTCATAATAAAAATAAGTTTCAATTGCTACGTTGTGGGTTGATTTAAAATACACACAAGGAACAGGTATCCTCGTGCATTTTTATTTTATAACTCAAGCTTGAGATAGTTTTATTCGTTTGTACAATGTGTTTTCTTTCGTTTTATCGACTAAACAAAACGTACAAGGATTCATTTCATGTTTTAACATCCTTGACCAGCCGAAATTTGTCTTTATCCATGTACACTCACGTACAAGTTGTTCATTAAAGAATGATACGATCCTACATTTGTCGGATATTGCACGCTCGTGACTTACCCAAGCTAGCTAGCTAACTACGGCCTCATATGGAATTTATTAGAATTAGAAATCTGATGCTACACGTGCAACTCCTCAGCTTGGTTTATTAACATTAACGGCCGCGAAAGACGCGGGACCCATTTGTATTAGGGCCAGTGAATTACGTTGAACGTGAGAGGCTTCCCGTTGGCGAATTATTAGCATCATTATCGCCTAAGAAGCCTAGCCATGGTATCGTCATCGCTAAATGGCATCACTTTAAACGCTAACGTAATCCTTTTGAACTATTTTCCAAGGTAAGCGTAACGAGCGTTCACCGTAGTCGTAGTCGTAGTCATAGTCGCGGTATTCTTGAAAAATAATTTACTTTATCTTGCCCATTTTTTTTCGTTTCGATTATAATTCTTTCTTTTTTTTCTTTTTTTTGCTTTTTATAACGAGAAAATATCTTTGACGATAAAGAAGAATTTTATATCGGCTTAAATATATATATTCATAGTAATCATAGTCTTGTTTGAAAATAATCAGTCGGATCAGGTACGAGTTACTTGTTCATTTTCGTTGACGATTATATTCCCATACCCCTCCCTTCATTTTTTTTCCATTTAAAAGCTGCTCCACGAGAATAAGCACGTAGAAAATCTGTTCTAATGCTCGCGATGAGAAAAATTAGTGGCGCGATTCATCGAGGAAGATTATCGATACTTGATTGCGCTTAATCCGTAAAGTTTTCTCGTTTGACCTATCCGTCGTCTCTCTCTCTCTCTCTCTCTTTCTCTTTTTCTCTTCCTTCTTCCTCTCTTTTGCAACGTACTGACGGCCCCGGGACTCTCGTCCTTCAGACAACTAGAACGATTTTCACTTGGATTTCCTCGAACGAAAAATGTGTTCAAGGAAGTCGCTCGCACGGATGAGAAATTTATGTCAAATGCGATTGTCGTCGACGGAATTTCTCACTAATGATGTTCTTTCCGCGTACCTCATGCTTTTCTCTCCCTCTTTCTCTATTTCTCTCTCTCTCTCTCTCTCTCTTTCTCTATATATTTCTACCTATCTCTATCTATCTATCTCACCCTTCGTTTCTTTTACTTTCTCCTTATTTTTCTTTCTTTTTTCTTTCGTTTTATAAGAAAACACGTTTACTTCCTATCGATTTGAAAATATAATATATATGTATATATATATATATATATAAAAAAGAAAAATTAGATTGTTTCGAATATAAGAGAAATTATATTGTCCTTTAAATGTATTATATATTTTATTTCTTTTATCATGGTAAATCTCGTTAATGTAATATACTTGTTAAATTAAATTTAATCGTTCGAAATATTCATTTTTTTTTTTCTATTAGACATATTTAGGATAAAATATTTAAGCGATTGTACAATTTGGGATGATTAACTTGTAAATAAGGTTAAAATGAAATGATATGTACTGTAATATTATACAATATAACGGAGATTTTATCGATAAATATGAATACGCGTTAGGATTTTTTTTGTTTTGTTCTTTTTTTTTTTTTCTGTTAATTATAATTGGATAATTTGATTCGGAAAGTAATTAATCGGAAATGGACGAAATAAATAACAGCAATTTTGAATTTAACTTGTAGATGAGTTTAAAATGAAATAATGTCCTGTTGAAAAATATAATATGCAGATTTATTATTTAAAAAATTTCAAATTTTTCTACAAAATTAAAAATATCATTATTATCATATCGATAATTGTGCGTGAACACTAAATAATTCAACGAAATAATTGAAAAAATCCATTTGCAATATAATTATTGACAATATAGATGAACAACTCATCACAATTTAAATAAACTTGAAATAAAATATCATCTGATGAAAATAACTTTAAATATATATTTAAAGAATTTCACAATATTCTTTAATAGATGAATAAATAAACGAAAAGTTTCTAATGAAAAATATTGTAAAATAAAAATCAAAATATATTACTTAAAAATATTATGCAATGAAACCCAAAAAGAATAAGTTAGAAAATGTAATTAGGGAAGGGGGGTTTAGGGGAACAGGGATAATTGTTTAATTTCAAATTTAATCGATATTATTGAGAATGAAATAGACAAAATTGGAGAAGGTATGATCGTGAGGTCTGCGTATAGAAAGGTTGGAAAGAGTAGTTGCACGTGGAGAGCTTGCAGGACGCATGCGTGCGGTGTTGCTCCTGCAGGACTCCGTAGTACGAGTCAGTCTGCATCTGGACTCCGGTTCGCGTAGATTTTATACTAACTTGTACGTGTACCGCTTACGTGATAAAGAAGACGAAACTGATATCTCATTCTCTTCATTTATTTTACACAACTCTCTTCCTTCTCTGTCGGATTTTTTTCATCCAGAAGAAACGAAAAAAAAATAAACCACAAATAATGACAATAATGAATTCATTTCTTGGTGCATCAAAAGTATCATCGTGGTTCGTCCTATTCATCTGTGTCGTGTTTCATCTTGATTCATCTGAAGGTAAGTGAATCTTATTTTTTTTTTTTTATTTTCTCAACCCCCTTTTTTTTCATCTTCGAAAAAGTGCTGATATTTCGGTCAATGAAAAATAAGCTGATATAACAGAAAATCGATTTTTTTTTTACGTCGCGTTAAATGCATTTTCGAGTGGTATCAATCGTTCAACGATTATGGGTATATATATACATTAAATATATATATACAGTTGGGGTGCACACATAAATTCTCGTTAAATTCTTGAGAAATTCTTAGGAAATTCTTGAGAAATTCTTACGCTATACCTAATCGTCTTACATCGTCGACTATTTTCCGAACAATTTGAAAAACGTCAAAATCTTTTACCTTCCAATTGGGTGGGTGGGTGATGAGGGGGCGTGGGGAGGTAAGGAAAAGCTCTTATTTTCAACGATAATTTGATGCGATAGATGCGTAAGGTTGCGTGCTTAATATTTTAGAAAATCGTTCATCATATCCCAAATCCATTTTAATGATCAACATTTTATTTTCAATCGAAATTGATATGAGAAAATGATTAGAAAATATTAAGAAAATAAGTAACACATATATTTATCTTCTTGTTAAACTTGTTAGAATATTTTCCAACCATATTCCATAGAGGAATTAAAAAGAAAAATGATTTTTTAATTTTTCTGATAAAGTGAAATCAACAACAACAACAACAAAAACAACAACAAAAAAAAGAACAAAACCGGAGAAGAAAAGTATAGAAACGTTCGACCAATTGTGAAAGAGAGAATACCAAAAAGATATATTTCTCGTCGTTAAGAGAGACGGTAATATTTCACAACTGCAATGATCTTTAATCTTAGATTCTACGTATAGACATAGTCGCCTCACTATCTTCGTTATCCACCAAGTGTTCCTGGTAGAAGAAAAATTCAAGTTTCCGTCGTTAGATGCTCCGTCAATCTTTGGGATTGCCAGCGATTTCTCATGGGAGGTTGTTCCCATGAGAGAATCACTGGCCGCCGTTGCTAGACAAGCAAACCGGCGAGTGACTTCGATAGAGAAACTGTCGAGATGAACGAAATTTGGAAAATATTGCTTTCCGACATTTCTATCTGTCTATCTCTTTCTCTCTTTCTCTATCTTTTTCTACCTTTCTTTAGTTATTCTTCTTGCGAATACCTCTTTCCTGTCGATAAACCGATAATCACTTTTTTTTCCTCCCCCTTTTCATCCCATTTCACGGGGTCGTCTATTCGAACGTAATTTCGTGTATATCAGGAAAAAAGAGAGAGAGAGAGAGAGAGAGAGAGAGAGAGAGTAAGCTTTTCATCGGGTGCCTTTCATCGAAAGCTTTTCAAAGTGCAAAATCACTGTCCGAACAAACTTCTCGAGCTTCGGTTTCTATTTCTAGCGTAGTTGCGAAGTGTCCGTGGCAACGAAACTTGGGAAATGCTCTCTCTGTAACTAGATAGTGTCGTACAAGCGCCCGAGGTTCTAAGAAAACATAGAATAGGTTGCTGAGATTAGTCCTACGGGAAGGGGAAGCTACAAGCACTCGTTTTAATTACTTTCGAGTCACCCTCTCTATCTCTCTTTCTCTCTCTCTCTCTATCTCTCTTTGTTCCTTTCTTATAACTGTGGTGTTGAGAATCAAATAAATCTCATAAAATCACACAAGAGAGAGAGAGAATTCTCTCCCGTAAATTCATAAGCATCCTGAGAACTATCATTCTCTCTCTTTCTCTCTTCATTTCTATTTTTCGTTTTATTCGTTCGTTTTTATGACAAAAAGAAGATTGTACGAGTAAGAGACACGGAGATGTCTCTTAAAGCTCGCACGAGCTTTACGTGAAACATAAAAAGTGTGGGAAAGGTGGATGGATAGCAGGGAAACGTGGCATGCCTATCGCATGACGAAGTAGTACTAGTTCAGTGGTAGCTTCTAACGTTCGTGTCATGCACAGGTCCTGCTGCTAATTATTCGTGAGCACGCGAGAATGAGAGAAATACCTTTCTCTTTCTATTCTATGGGTTAGTTACTACCTTTCTCTTACCTACCTACCTACCTACCTACCTACGAACCAACCAACAATACGTACATATAACACATGTTGCGAGGCACGCAATGTTATACAATTCTGAGCAATTTCCATTATGCGATGCTCCTCTGTTATGCAAATAGAGAGACGCGTGTCTGTGCAGATGAACCCTTATAACTTGTTCGATGCTCGGTCTTTCCTTAAAAGCAACCAACCAACCAACGAACCAACCAACCAACCAACCAACCAACCATTCCCACCAACCCTTGCCACTTTCTCTCTTGAAGCTTGTAAAACCCGCTACTGTGTGTGCGTGTGTGTGGCTATCCTCTTCAACATTCTCGAAAATTTCGCGTTAGGAAGTTGATACCAACGAACGTTTCAGGATCCAGACTCCCATAGCCAGAGCCGGACCCAGTGTTCGGACCAGTTCCTTTATTTCGTTTTGCGTGTTACGCGAAATCCTGACGAATGGCTTAACCCCCTAACAACCCTCCTCCCCCACCACCACCTACAAACCACTCCTTCTTTTTTCTCTTTCTATCTCTCGTTATCTCGTTTTCCTTCTCGTATACGAATAACCACTCTCTCATTCGCTAAATCTTCATTTTATTTTCCTCATTCTCGAACGAAGAATCATCCCCGTGCGGGGGATGCTGATGGTGATTCAGAAAAAATAAAAGATAAAAAATAGTAGACATTTATGTGTTCGCTCGTTCTGGTATATTAGTATATATATCTATAAAATAAAAAAAAAAAAAAAACAGAAAAATATATATACAGCGTGTCGAACATAACTCTAGTCACGATTTTTTAAGTACTTGCGATAAACTGACAAAAAAAAATTGTATACTTATAGCAAGCGAATTTTAATCATTTTTATATTAAATTAAAGTGCACTCTTTTGTCTACGCATTGAATACTTTGTCGAATTATAAATCAATCTGCAAGGGTTGATAAGATGTTAGGGAATGCAATGCTGTAAATTGTAAAACCTTGCCATTTCTTTGAAAAATTTCGATAAATATTTTTTCTACTAAAACTGAATTGATTTTATTGATTCTTATATTAAATTAAAGTACACTCTTTTGTCTATGAACAAAATACTTTGTCGAGTTATAAATATTGCATGTAAAGTKCAGAAAATGTCAGAGAATGCACTGCTGTAAGTTGTGAATCTTTGCAATTTTTTTGAAAAGTTTCGGTACATATTTTTTATATTTAGACCATGCGAATTTTAATAAAACTTATATTAAATTAAAGTACATTCTTTTATCTACGCGTAGAGTACCTTTTTGAGTTATAAATCAATCTGCAAAGGTTCATTAAATGCTAGAGAATGCAATGCTGTAAATTGTGCATCTTTGCAATATCTTTGAAAAGTTTCGGCAAATATTTTTTATATTTAGAGTAAATAGATTTTAATGATTTTTATATTAAATTAAAGTGCACTCTTTTGCCTACAAGTAGAGTACTTTGTAGAGTTATGAAAATCAAATGTAAAGTGCAGAAAATGTCAGAGAATGCACTGCTGTAAGTTGTGAATCTTTGCAATTTTTTTGAAAAGTTTCGGTACATATTTTTTATATTTAGACCATGCGAATTTTAATAAAACTTATATTAAATTAAAGTACATTCTTTTATCTACGCGTAGAGTACCTTTTTGAGTTATAAATCGATTTGCAAAAGTTCATAAAATGTCATAGAATGAGATGCTGCATCTTTTTCCTACTTTGCCATTTCTTTAAAAAGTTTCGGCAAATATTTTGCATACTTAGACCATGCGAATTTTAATAATTTTTATATTAAATTAAAGTACACTCTTTTATCTATACGTAGAATACAAATTTGAGTTATAAATCAATCTGCAAAGGTTCAAAAAATGGCAAAGAAAAGTTTGCGGATCAGGCATTGTTCACATTGCCTAAGGCCAGGCATTGTTAACATTGCCGGGGGAGGTTTGGAACCTAGGCCGGTAATGTTAACAATGCCTGGTTTTAGGCATTGCTCACATTGCCTAATCCGCTAATTTTTCTTTGCCATTTTATAAACCTTTGCAAATTGATTTATAACTTAAATGAGTATTCATCTTGTAGATAAAAGACTGTACTTTAATTTAATATAAAAATTATTAAAATTCGCATGGTCTAAGTATAAAAAATATTTGCTGAAACTTTTTAAAGAAATGTCAAAGTAGGAAAAAGTTGCAGCATCTCATTCTTTGACATTTTATGAACTTTTGCAAATCGATTTATAATTCGAAATTGTATTCTACGTGTAGCCAAAAGTGTGAACTTTAATGTAATATAAAAATTATTAAGATCCATTTGCTAAAAGTATAAAAAATATGTACCGAAACTTTTCAAAAAAATTGCAAAGATTCACAATTGACAGTATTGCATTCTCTGGCATTTTCTGAACTTGACATGCTAAGTTTATAACTCGGTATGGTATTCAGCGTGTAGACAAAAGAATGTACTTTAATTTAATATAAGTTTTATTAATATCTATTCACTTTTAGTACAAAAAAAATTTACCGAAACTTTGCAAAGAAATTGCAAAGATGCACAATTTACAGCATTGCATTCTCTGACATTTTTTGAACATTGGCAGATCAATTTATAACTCGACAAAGTATTCAACGCGTAGACAAAAGAGTGTATTTTAATTTAATATAAAAATCATTAAAATCTACTTGCTATAAGTATAAAATTTTGTTTGTCAGGTTATCTTAAGTACTTAAAAAATCGTGACTAGAGTTATGTGAGACATCCTGTATATAAGTAAATGAGATGAAAAATAACCATACGGTTGTATGTTACGTTGTTTCTTTGATTATAAAATCTTGCACGTTAATTCGACTGAAATCCAGTAAATTCTCCGGTGTCATTTGCACAAAGTGTGCCTTCGCCTTTATGAAAACTTAACGCAATAATGCGCCGAGTAAATAGCTTTCAAAGCCACGATATTTACCACCGGTTGTGGAGTAGG